CACAGTACTTATTGGAAAGGTTACGTTTATCATTCCATGTGTTTAATTTTACTATTTGCGGTTTCATTTACCACAGTATTTTAACCATGTCGCTATAGTAATTATAATCAAATTATTTCTTTCCATGTACTGACATTACAGGCCTAACTAATTAATGCGTAAATTACAATGGCAATTTTTTACAATTCTTTGCAATGATACCTTCTCCTCACTTTCACATATAAAAAATGTGAAATTTTATGTTTATTTAATTATTACTTTTTAAAATGCATGAGGCTAAATCAAATTTATATTTGGAATTCAGGAGAATACAAGACACATGAAGCAAATCTCAAATATTGGAATTCAACTACTTAATCTCTCGGGCATATAAAGTGGAATTGATTTAAGGGGTATGGCCACGGTAGCGGGTATAAAATCATGTGCATATGCAACAATTTTTTTGTTGTATAAAAAGTAATTTATTTACAGAACTAATTACAGGTACATTTAGTGTATGTATCAAAATAACAAAAATAGTTTTCTTTATTCATTTTCTTATGCGAAATGGCCGACAACTCCTATTTGCTTTTTTCATCTTTTTTCCGAGGCGTTCCACGGAGTGACATGCGAAATGGCCGACATTTGGCGTCCACAATTTTTGACCTAAAACAAAACAAAAAAATTCTCGTTAATCTACATAAAAATACCTCGAGAAGTACATATGGAATTTTTAAAATATTAATTTTTTCGAAAATGGCAGGTATTTGAAATTAACAGGTGAACTTCCATTGAAAAATTTCGTATAAAACTGCTCATAAAATGGAAAGTTTTTTATTAATCAAAAATTCCGTGTACTTCTCTGCGAAATACAATTACAAAGATGATTTAAAAATTTGAAGTCAATCGGAAGAAATTTGTCGAAGTTATTTATCATGCGAATTAGAAAAAAGCTGTTTTGAGAAAAATGCGTTTAAAGTTTGACGTATAACTTTTTTGTTGTTAAACTTGAAGAATCGAACCAACAAAATTTTTTACCTTTAGTCTGCGATGCCAGCTCCATCAAGTTGGCCTTCTAAGGCAAGATTTTCCTCCTCTTCAGCTTTCCTATGCACAGTACGTACACTTTTCGTTGCTACAGCAATTGCTTCGACAAGTTTGTCATAAAAGGAATAGTATATCGGCCGCGGCAATTCCATGAAGGCACAAAACTTTTTTGTACTATTCAAACCTACACCTAATAATCGCATCGCTAAGGTGATTCTGCGATTAATTTCATACCCATTTCTCACATAAGGGCAATTAGGTATTTCAGTTTTTTCACACTGGTTTCAAGAAATTACGATCTTGAAATTCAAACTGCGCATGGCCGATTCAGTGATTTTTACACCTTGGCCGCACGTTTTGCAAACAACCACTTGAGCAATTGCGTTCATAACAGGTACGAAATTTATAAATCTGTTACCGAATTCGGCATTAGTGTCAGTATCACGCGAACTCGTTGACAGTCGTAGTTTCTTGGCCGACGCGCTCACGTCTTCTGCATCTGCCTCTGCTAAGAGTCGATTTACCAATCTACGCTTCGAAACATTGGTCTTATGTGAAGACCAAGTATTTGATTTTGACCCCTTCTTTGATAGATGAACCTTTTTTTGGCCACTCATTTCGGCTACTCGCAAAAAAATGCTTGAACTTGCTCAATACAAAACAGGGGGTCGACACTGCCATGTATTGGAGTGTAACGCTTTATGCACTACCGCCATCTTCGGTTGGAGTAAACCTTCTTCGCGAACTAAAATATTTGGCGGGCTATTCAAATTCATTTATTAAACGAAGGGATATTTTCGGGATTTAAAAAGTACTTGCAATTATCAAAACAGACGTTGCTTAAACTGACACACAAATGTAAGAAAACAGTATATTAAACATAAAAGAAGTAACAAAAGTGTCAGTGGCGCAACGCCTGTTTTAAATCACTGTAAGAACTGAAATAATTACATTAAACATTAGTTAAAAAGTAACATATTTATTAAGATAAAAATATTAATTATTATGAATGTATAAATATACAAATTCTATACATTTTAATCTTTGTTATGATTACATTCATGGATTAAATGCGAAAGACCATGGCAGTGCCGACCCTCTGGCAACAATCGACGATCACACAGAGTATGACGCGTCAACGCATCAAGGATGAAAAACCAATCAGAATTGCGCTTAACCTCGTGGTCATTTCCGTTGCAGTTTTAATTGGTTTTCATCCTCGACGTGTTGACACGCCGCGCTCTATGTGGCACACGACGCATTCAGTGAGATTCCGGCCACAAAGTTATTAAACATCGATGATATTTGAATGAAGTAAACATATATGTGCCGTTATGATGACAAATGGATGATTTTCAAATTATTGACATCGATAACATGACATTTTTTCAGGTTAGACATTCATGACATTTTTAGGTTAAATAAATATTTCATTAAAGATTTTCATCAAGTTGTCGAGATAAATCGTTGATATTGATACATTTTCAGGTTAACTATCACTATTAGAACCGTTCAGATTAGGGCTAGTTCAGTTTTCTTTCGATTAACACTTTTAGTTCCGTATTTTAGTGGTATCGTCCTTTCATACTTTTAAGGTGAAGTGAAACACGTCGAGGAACTTGATCAACGTCGATAAAGAAGATTTTTCTAAACGCCTACGTTGCCGACGTTCGTTTTTATATTGACAGCTGGGTCGAATTATATAGGGTATTGTAGGTAGGAATATATACTTGTAATTTAATTAACTTTACACGATTTTTTCCTTAATAACACTAATATCTTTCTTCTAAACCTTATCTATTATATCGTTATTGTTTTATTCTATTCATAATAAATGCTTTATTAAGGAATGCAAACCGCTTACTATTTTCTTTTTCCACATTAGTGGTCCAATTTCTCCTAATTCATTTGGACAATATCGAATTGGCCTACTCGGAATCCAATCATCAGTTGGTCATATAGTTCGACTGGCAGCTTCTCAAGTTGCCAATCCTAACCCACAACCCCAAGTAAAATTAGTCCAAATAGATTAGACGAGCTGGTCCAAGGACCAACTGACGGTATCCCGAATCTTAACTTCCCTTTCTTTTCCATATTCCTATAATCTCTTTAATCTTTTCCACTTTTTTACTATCAAGAAGGACGGGACGTAACAATAGAAAACGATGTTAAAAAGGCTCCTAGCGGGGGCGTTCTTTCCTCGAAAAAATGTTGTTTCGGACCGGACGCAAAGGAGAGAATTTCACGAATTGCAGCTGAAAGAAATTGCTAGGGTGATGGGAAAGTTTTTGAGAACGCTCAAATAATACCGTGTCCCTTTTTCCGCGTAAAGACGTTTTTGGCAAAAAACTCTTCGCCTTGTCGTAGGTTATTAAACATCTGCGTGCCGCATTACCCGTTCACGTAGGACTTTGCCTTGGTATTAAAGAAACAAATTCTTTTCCGTGTATTTGAAATTATTCGCGACTTAATTCGATACGAGGTGCGATCATTATTACGATTGATTATTATTACTTAAAGCCTGTTTTGAGCCTCTTACTTGTATTCAGATACCTCCACGATTGCGAAATTGTAAGAAACGCGATTGTTAAGGTGAAGTGAAACACCTTTCAAATCAGTCGATTTGAATACAACACTTTTTTTTAAGGGTATTAGACCAAACCGTCCGAAACTTTGACACATCACTCCTGATCATCTAAGAATTGTCCTGACACATTGAAAATTTGGATTTTTCAAAAAATTGTTTGACTCAGCCTAGACCAGAACCAAAATGGCGTCGAGCTCTCATATTTTGATTGATATACTATTATTGAAGGCTCTGATATGAGAATCGAAGGGTCAGGACAATTTTACGACAATTTAGAATACTCTGGTAATCGATAAACTCGCATTTGAACGGGATAAAGGCAAAAAAAGTGTTGTATGCGTTTCTTTGCTAAAACGATGGTAATACGAGGTCTCGGAGTGAAGACTTAATTGACCTGGAAATCACAGATGGCGCAGGGGGTCCCTCTGCAGTCAATTAGGGCCCCAGAAAGCATGAATCTAGAGGATTTCTGGAGTTTTACTTTGATTTCTTTATAATTATTGTACGGAAACGACATATGGTGTACACCATTTGGTACAATATCCAATATAATTCGACACAGCCGTCAATATAAAAACGAACGTCGGCAACGTAGGCATTTAGAAAAATCTTCTTTATCGACGTTGACCAAGTTCCTCGACGAGTTTCACTTCACTTTAAATGAACACTCGCAACTTTGATTAATGGGGTTTTTCCCAGTCCTAAAGATTTAAATAAAGAAAAAAAACGCAAAAGAACAGCCTCTCTACATTTTAGGTAGCTACAAAATGACGATTGTTTTGTTCCGATGGGTTGCACCGGAGGATAAGAAGTGATCATCGGAGGGCAGTTTGACCCCTTCAAACTATTGTACCGCAAGTATAAAAAAGACGTGTCTCTTGGAATATGTTTTTTTACAAAATATCAAAAGTTGAACAAAATTGAATAGCAACGTGAACGTTTCTTGTAAGCTTATTTATAGACAACTTTTCACTTCCTCTATAAAGTATCCATGCAAAGACAATTCAGTCTGCGATATTTAACAAAATGTATCATTAGACATGTTTTAGATATTTCTTCATGTCGTCATGTCAAAAAGAGGACTTAAAAAAGACAGCTTTTCGTTATCTTTACGGTAGATGTGCTGTATGGGTAATTAATCACTTTATATTCGCCTTTGTTTAAAAAGTCGGCTATACTTAATGGATTGCATTGCTTTATAAATTGTATATATGTTGCATTAATTATTCTTTAAATATGCACAATGCAGTTCAAGATGTAACAATGTCACCTTAATCAGTATATTACAATTGTAATTTGTTAGTAAGGAATGGCCATGCTTCATACATTGTTTAATGTAGAAAGCAGTTCGTACAGATGTTGACAAGGGTAGAAAGGTGAAAACAACTTGTTATGAACAATAATAACGATGATCTATTTTAATAGGTGAACGTTGGTTTTTAACATATATTTTATTTTAACTTAATAACATTGGTGCGTTCAGTTAGGAATTTTGAGATACTTCCGATATATAACATTGCTCGAAACGGTAACAATAATCGAACCTAATGGAATGGCAAATGCACACTCCGAGTTTAACAAATTCGGATTTCCTTTGTTAAAAGCAGTTTTGGAAGTACTGCGAGTGACTTAAGAGGATATACCTCTCTTTTTGACATCTTCTAAAAATTTGGCAACAAGTGCTTCCCATTCCTCGGTACGATTACTGGTGTACCAATCTGCCAATTTATCAAACATTTGCTTCTGCTTCTCGGTACACTTCTTGCACTTCGTGGCAATCGCTTCAGGGAAGTTACCTGTACGAAAAGAAAGCATAAAATTTCGTGAATCAGGAAGGAACAAATCTATCAATATCTATCGCTCGTTATCTTCCAACACAGGTTTATCTTCACAAGGAAGCGCTCCCGAAATAATCAGCAAATAGAACTGATTACTAATAATGAGCGAGTTTCTTGCTGGGCCATATTTAGTAACTTAAGGTGAAGTGAAACGCGTCGAGGAACTTGGTCGGCGTCGATAAAGAAGATTTTTCTAAATGCCTACGTTGCCGACGTTCGTTTTTATATCGACAGCTGGGTCGAATTATATAGGGTATTGTACCAAATGGCATACTCCACCTGTCGTTTTCGTACAGTAATTATAAAGAGATCGAAGTAAAACTCCAGAAATCCTCTGGATTCATGCTTTCTGGGGCCCTAATTGACTGCAGAGGGACCCCCTGCGCCATCTGTGATTTCCAGATCAATTAAATCTTCACTCCGAGACCTCGTATTACCATCGTTTTGGCATAGAAGCGCATACAACACTTTTTTTGCTTTTATCCCGTTCAAATGCGAGTTTATCGATTACCAGAGTGTTCTAAATTGTCGTAAAATTGTCCTGACCCTTTCGATTCTCATATCAGAGCCTTCAATAATAGTATATCGATCAAAATATGAGAGCTCGACGCCATTTTGGTTCTGGTCTGGGCTCAGTTAAAAAATTTTTTTGAAAAATCCAAATTTTCAATGTGTCAGGACAATTCTTAGATGGTCATGAGTCATGTATCAAAGTTTCGGACAGTTTGGTCCAATACCCTTAAAAAAAGTGTTGTAGTCAAATCGACTGATTTGAAGGGTGTTTCACTTCACCTTAATTTGTTTTATAAATACTGGGTTAGACTTTTCTATTATTAGTGAATTATCTTCAAACTTGAGAAAGTAGGTACTGTATGTGACGAATTTCTTTTAAAAGAAATGTAAAATTATAGGGTAAACTACTAAAAACTATCTCAAATTAAAAAGTTCTTCCATTTTTTCCTTGGCATTTTTTCATTTACACGAAAATGTTTTTTTTTAAACGTATGATAAACTTTTCACATATTGTATTTTCAAGTGCGTAAAAATCTTGTACCTTTGAAGAATTTCGCATCAGGAGTGAGGCATGGTCCAGTGTCCATAAAGCATTTATAATATTGGTCCCTGAGCCGGTCATTTGCTAAAATTTCGTCCACATTCACGTAATCGTACTTGTCGGAGTACAGCTCCACCTTATCGGCTATGGCGATAACAAGAAAAAGTGCCAGGACGACGAAAACGAAATTTGTCCGAAACATGTTCTTGATGGTTAATGTGCCGTGTCTGAAGTAAAGTGGACTGTTGGATCCATGCAGACACGACTTTTATATACGACCAAGGATGATTTACGCACACGCAAGGTTCATGCAAATTACCTTGTCTTTAAGGTGGTTGTGACGTCACCGAAACGAGTTTTTGTTAATGATTCGGCACTAAATCAGCTATGAAATGATGCATGGTGCTCGTGCGAATATCACCTAGTAAATTTGATAAATTAGTATACGTTTTAATGCGGCAATCAAGCAAAGTGAAGGTAACGTATGAATTATCTTGATAAAAACCTTCACTACAATCTGGAATATATAATGAAAATTAAAAGAAAATTATATTCCAGGAAAATCCCACTAACAATTTAGGGTAAGTATTTGAATTTTTATTTCGGATATAGGTGATTCGTCTACTTTGAGGAAATTGTCTCTTAGTTTATTCATAAATTTAATGTTTGCTAAGATAATAAACAGTAACCTTAGGAAAAAGAATTATTCGTGTATAGGAAAAATAAACTCAATTGTTGTATTCTTTGTGTTACATCATTTACCTTGATTCTCAACGAATTTTATATTATAAAAGACTAATACTATAAAAGTATTTTTTATTAATACTACTCGAATATATAACTAGTCCCTTCCTCTATTAGGAAAGGAAGGTTTACGAAAATTTATGATTGATGAATTGAAGAAATAAACGACTGCATTCCTTTCCGTCTGGATTTTTTTGGCTTTCCTGTATTTCCTTAATTTTATGATATAAACTGTTAAATAATCCGTCAATAATCTTTATTAATTTTATTATTTTGCATGATTCAAAATTCTCGCCTTTTATCCTCCTAGGTTCTTGGGATAATTAACACGAACCAGTTTGCAATAAATTACATGACGAGGCAAGTGACGGTTAAGAGAATATATGTAAATACTGCGTAATTACTGTGATCGCCTATCCATAAGAAAATGGCGTGTGCGATTAGAAGTACTGGATGTCATTTTGATGCCTTTGATAAGTTTCCGTAAATTTCATATTTTCCCTGAAATATTAATGAATTAAAATTGTGTATAACAACAAGTACAAAGATAAAGACATAATTAGTAGCCGTATGTCATACAATTTTATGTTGATCTTATGTATTTTATGTATTATTTTATGTTGATATTATGTAGGCTTAGCTAAGCTAGAATAAAACTCCAAAATGTATAAATAATGTTTAATAAAGTGAATTAGAAACAACAGGAATATTATGTCATAATTTGAGCATCATTTTTGTCATAGAAAATGAAAATAATACTCTTTCCTCGACTATTAAATTTTTCCATGTTTTCTCATTTGGAGTGTGAAGATACACAATTACGTGAATACCACAATCCTTTCAATTAGACTTTGATTCTCTCCGGCTATTAAACTTTTTTTTCAAGTGTAATCACAGCTAAGAACTACCAATTTATGTACACTGAAAACCGGGTTTAATGACTTAAAACTGTGAGACGTGCTCAGCCAGGTTGTCGTTGTAATTATTTATAAATTATATACTGAAATATAATGACACAAGAACGTCGTCAAACATATTTTACGGAATTGTGCAAATTCTGTACCGAGTTGAATGAAAAAAGACCTATCATAACGTCAAAATTGTACAGGTAGTCAACAAGAGTTGGTTAACAAGGTTCTAGAATTTGATTTCTTTAACTACAATTCTATTTAATATAATAATTACATTAAACCATCAGTTCTCTTGAACGTCACTAAATTTTGTAAAATTATATTAATGCATTTAATAAATTTAGGAATAGGAATAAAAGTACAGGTAGTCAACAAGAGTTGGTTAACAAAGTTCTAGAATTTGATATTTTTAATTATAATTCTATTGAATATAATAATTACATTAAACCATCAGTTCTCTTGAACGTCACTAAATTTTGTAAAATTATATTAATGCATTTAATAAATTTAGGAATAGGAATAAAATTAATGAAGAACAAAAAGAATACTAGTTGACAAGTAAGGCGATCAAGGAATGATCTTGTTAAAAAAAGTATTAATCGATTCTTTCGCAAAACACGCGACGTACTAATAATAAGTGCACCTAAGATGTACAGTACTTTTTTCTACTCATTAGATTGTAAAAGACATTCAGGAAGATCGATGGAAGTGGTTGTAAATATTAATAGCAAATTGCTATATTACTCTGTATAGTATTCTGATTGAAATCTATAGACGATTAATATTACCAGGTAGATATGTTAATAGAATAGCTTCATACATAATTATAAATCAACGATTTCAAATGAAGATACGATGAAATGGCAAAAAAAAAGGCCAGGGTCCACCGAGGTGAAATCACGTTGTAAGTTTCCGTCTTTAATAACATAACCACCTAATATCAATTATTATAATGCTCACACAAGATATTAATAATCATATTAGCGAGAACAATAATTCATGTGCCGCCTATTGAAATTGTAATCCCATAAAATCATTTAAATGTATACTCTAAGAGTTCCAGAATAAAAATAATGTATTATCTTTTTCCCGGAAATTAAATTAAAATAGTGAATTGGTACATTCTCAAAGTATAAATAATAACGCGTCAATAAGTTACTGCATATATTCAGATTTATGTAAATTATAATGATTTAACTAGTTCTGGTTAAAAAGAGACAAATTTCAGATACACGTTGTATTTTGTAGGTGAAACTTTTTTATAATGATTTGTAATAAACTAGCGTAATTAAAGTAATTATAAAATTTCGATACCTTTCGGTCATATATTTCCTCGGGCTGATAAAAAATAAATTAAAAATGTTTCAATATTTTACTTTACATATAAAATTTCTGTGCCTCTGTGAAAACTATATGTAATCCTTTCTAAGCAGTTTCTTAACAAAAGTACATATCGGAACTGTTTGTATATCCATGCATGAACTTTCCATTTACCATTAACATGTGCCATGGATAAGGAAATCACATTGCGCTCCAAAGCTTTTTACACTGTAAAAATATGAATGTAGTATCGTATTAATATACGCTGGTTATACCAAATGACACATTTTGCAACAATACCTTTACAGGGTAATACCAAACAATTTGTCAAAATAATAAGGTAACCGTGCTTGTTGGGAATCCGGATCGATGGAGGAAATATTGCAAATAATTTATGACAGGTTGCACGAAATTATGCATCAGTGAACGAACAAGTGTCTTATACATGCCGAGTGCTGGAGATGCATAACTTAGTAGAAAGATAGTTCGCAGCGAAAACTGCACATCAGCAGCGGAAGGTTTATTCGTGTATCTCTTTAACACCTCACCATCTTCCCCGTGGTAATTCTAGAGGATAACTGTTAAGGTGAAGTGAAACGCGTCGAGGAACTTGATCGACGTCGATAAAGAAGATTTTTCTAAATGCCTACGTTGCCGACGTTCATTTTTATATTGACAGCTGGGTTGAATTATATTGTGTATTGTACCAAATGGCGTACTCCACCTGTCGTTTTCGTACAATAATTATAAAGAAATCAAAGTAAAACTCCAGAAATCCTCTGGATTCGTGCTTTCTGGGGCCCTAATTGACTGCAGAGGGACCCCTTGCGCCATCTGTGATTTCCAATTGAATTAAATTTTCACTCCGAGACCTCGCATTACCATCATTTTAGCATAGAAGCGCATACAACACTTTTTTTGCCTTTACCCCGTTCAAATGCGAGTTTATCGATTAGTAGAGTGTTCTAAATTGTCGTAAAATTGTCCTGACCCTTTCGATTCACATATCAGAGCCTTCGATAATTGTATATCGATCGAAATATGAAAGCTCGACGCCATTTTGGTTCTGGTCTGGGCTGAGTTAAAAAATGTTGTTAAAAAATCCAAATTTTGAATGTGTCAGGACAATTCTTAGATGATCAGGAGTGATGTGTCAAAGTTTCCGACAGTTTGGTCTAATACCCTTAAAAAAAAGTGTTGTAGTCGAATCGACTGATTGGAAGGGTGTTTCACTTCACCTTAAGTTTTACATTTAAAATAAGTAATAAAGATCAGATGAAATATGCCACTGTAAGGAGCTCAGGTTTTTTATTGGATATTGCCTTGTAGGAAGTTATTGCGACATTTTCGTTAGCATAAACCTTGATAATGTCCTTGATGAATTCATGCCTCAGCCAGATTAGATGAAGCTGTCTGGAACTTCAAGTATACAAATTTCACTTGACCAAATTACATGCTAATGTAGATAAGAAATTTTAAATCACAATTTAGTACAGCATTGATTGTCTTATTTTTTAATGAAAGTTATTCGATACGCGTAATTGTTATATCATTGAAAACAATGGCATTAACTAGAAAATATATTATTCTAAAGAATGGATTTCAGATGGCCTACTAAAAACAACAAAAAAATCCGCCAGTAGATCTAGTGTTAATTAGTTATTAATACATTATGACATTTTTTGTATAGGTATTTGAATTCAATATGGTGCTAAGGATTTTGGTAGGATTAATGATAACGCTTCAATGTGTTGTTGGTAACATGGTAATAGCCGATTTAACTAGGGACTTCTTCATGGAAAAAAACATACACGAGATCGTTGTCTTTGCTTGCTGGAAGTATGTTGGTACGTAGTAAAATATTCGTAAGATTTTATGTTTAATTTAATTTTATATGACTACCATCACGAAGTCTATTATTGCAACCAGATAGGTTGACCATTTCCCGAGCATTGATGTCTCTCGATACGAAAGTTGCATACCTTCCAATTTCCAAGGATCTCCCCATGAAGAGCATCCTTGCAGTGAATTACTACAGGATTGGCGTTGTTCTTGACCTGGATTGTCCTCGAAGTGAAATTGTCCTTAAGCAGGTAAACTGAATGTCAATCATTTACATAAGCGTTCTATTAGTTCTTAAATTTTCATAAATGAAAGACATTAAAAATATGTTAAAGAAGTGATTCAAGTGGCATATACAATCCAGTACTTTAACCGGATATATTTGCGACTGACTTGAATATGAAAAGAATTATTCTATCCTATAAGAAACGAAGATTATTCGTGTTTGAAACACATTTTCTCATCAATTTCGAAGAATAATGGTATTTATAAAATATAACAGTCTTCTGACCGCTTTTAGGGGCGACCGTAATGAATAACCTACCTATATTTTCAAACAGAAATAGTAAACTATTTTTGAACCCGCTTAAAACTTTTGCTAAGAGAATTTATTCGTGGCGCCCACTCTTAGAGCTGAAGAGAATTACTCACTGAACACCAAACCTAACAGTTACGTAATTTAAAATCGAATCAAAAACACCTTCTTCAGGTGTAAAAAAACTTCGCCAAATATATATATGTGCCCGTCACTAGTACTTTCTGTTATAATCTCGGTTACATTATGTTAATACGGTCACGAAACAACTGAAATCAATTATAATGCACCAAATACGAATAATCTTTCTTCTTTCAGTTCTTTTATTAGCTAAAGAAAAAATACACAGATCTTTTATTAGCTACAGAATGAATACACAGAATTTATATTTTTTAAACATTTTTGGCGAGCCGCTTAATAATATTTATGGTTTCTGAGAGCATTTTAGGCTTTATGCTATTACAGTACATTGAATGAAGCGGACAGACAATGATATGAACGCTAGTAATGTTGCATATTTGGTGAGATTGACGTAATAATAAAGTCTCAATACCTTTGAGGCTATTTATTGATATATTATTTCTTCTACCCTCTCGAAACTCTACCGAGTTTCTTAATAACAAATAACATAACGTTTGTTACAATGTAATAACCTAACAGTTACGTAACATAGAGCTAACCAGTTACATGACATTTGTTACAATGCAGTAACTTAACGGTTTTGTAACATGGAGCTAACAGATTACATAACATTTGTTACAATGCAGTAACTTAACGGTTTTGTAACATGGAGCTAACAGATTACATAACATTTGTTACTATCATATCTATATAAATGTAGCATAACTTTGTTACTCTCATCTTACATTATGTTCCTGTCCTGATATTACTGTGTATATGCAGCACATATTTGTAACAAAACAGAACTACGTTGGTGCAAACTGTCCTTTATTTTATTACATCATCGTCATCGTCATTGTCTAAATTCATTGTCATTTGTCATAAGATTAATATATGTCATATTTTGTTTACTACTCGTATGAAAAAATGTGACTTTAATTCATACGCGCATATACATTATGAGTCATTGTTTGCTAGTCGAGTGACATCCTAATTGTCTTTAAGTAAAATCAGATAGTTTATCGTTACATAATTCCATTGAAAGTCTGATTTGTCGTTTAATATCTAACTATTGTCAAGTACCAAAAAATAATTAAAAATAAAAAATTATTAATTTTAGATAAAATTGCGTCATCTTTTACCCTTTCGATTCTCATATCAGAGCCTTCGATAATTGTATATCGATCGAAATATGAGAGCTCGACGCCATTTTGGTTCTGGTCTGGGCTGAGTTATAAAATTTGGTTGAAAAATCAAAATTTTGAATGTGTCAGGACAATTCTTAGATGATCAGGAGTGATGTGTCAAAGTTTCGAACAGTTTGGTCCAATACCCTTAAAAAAAGTATCTTATTCGAAACGACTGATTTGAGGGGTGTTTTNTTATAACATTAATATAACATGTTACATAACATGTTACCTTACCGAGTGGGAAATAATAACTAACATCTAACTTCCATGTTACTTTTATACTACATAACGTGTTAGTTTCGAAAACGTAACATTTACCCAACAGTTATATAACAGTGTTCATTGGGTATGTTCTCTACTCGCTAATTACCACGGATTGTACTCCAAGACAGCTCTCATACTACGGAACTACTCAATCCAGATCACAATTAAGATGGACATGCATTATGCGATGGTCATAAGAGGTCTGATATATGACCACTCTGAAGCGCCATCGCTTATAAACTGTCTCCGCAATGTGATCATTTGAAAACAAAAACAAATTAGGAGGCAGAACAATGATGCTCTTACTTACGTTTAACCAGTTAGCTGAAATTGACGAGTATACTTGTCTGCGTGAAAATGAGTGATTATTGGCTATTTAAATTATAATTTTAGTGAAAACTAAATTGTAGTCGAAAATTTCAAAATGTTAAAAATATTTGGAGGCCAAGAAGAAATAAAACGAACGAATAAAATATATAAATATTTGTTATGAAAAAACGTTGTGCAGGGTGAAAAAAGTAGTTGTTTCTCCTTTCTAATTGAACCCACCTGGGATTCATGTTTTGTTTTAGCCTAGGCTAGTTAAATTATAATTTTAGTGAAAACTAAATTGTATTCGAAAATTTCAAAATGTTAAAAATATTTAGAGGCCAAGAAGAAATAAAACGAACGAATAAAATATATAAATATTTATTATGAAAAAACGTTGTGCAAGGTGAAAAAAGTAGTTGTTTCTCCTTTTGTAATTGAACCCACCTGGGATTCATGTTTTGTTTTAGCCTAGGCTATTTAAATTATAATTTTAGTGAAAACTAAATTGTATTCGTAAATTTCAAAATGTTCAATACATTTAGAGGCCAAGAAGCAATAAAACGAACGAATAAAATGTATAAATATTTATTATGAAAAAGCTTTGTGCAGGGTGAACAAAGTAGTTGTTTCTCCTTTCTAAGTAAACCCACCTGGGATTCATGTTTTGTTTTAGCCTAGGCTAGTATTGGCTCGCCAGTCAATAAAAAATATGATCCTGCTTAGTCCTCATTATACAAACGTCTCGTTAGACCATATAACTTGCTCTATCCTATTGTGGTTTATTATTGGCGCTTGACGTCCGTTTTAATGCATACGAAACTAGGAAATGTAGCACCACGTTGACAGATCTATGTGCATAATAAAAAAATGTATCCTTGCAAGCAGAGTTCTGAGTTAGATAACTCACATTGGGTCGACGGGTTTTTCTTGTTTCGCACTATCATACGACATGTCTAGTCAAACAGTCAGTGCACATTAAAAAAAAACCATGGAAAATTAACACGTATAAACTTCTTAATGAAGTAAATTGAAGCCACAATTGCATCATATCTTATTCAGACTGTAACATCAACACGAACTCGAACAACTAAAATTGACGCTACACGTGAATCGGGAAAATTTTCTCGATTATATACCAAACATATCATCAAAAAGTATCCCACACGAAGATGCTTATGTTGTTTCAAAAATAAGATTTGAAAAGAATGTAGATATTGGTGTTCGACTTGCAAAGTACCGCTATGTATTGTACCTTGCTTTCGTCAATATCACTCCCCAACAGAAAATTGAATTTCGAGATTTTGTAACAATTTTTCTTGTTTTTTCTTTTTTTATGCAAAGTATATATGTTTATGCTAAGTAAACAAATGCATATTAGGAATAAAATTATTAGTTTTACAAAAAAAATGTATTTTTAATTCAATATTTCAACAGCAACACTTACTCTGTACTTGACGAGTACACTCGTCATTGTTTCATTTTTCGCGACACTTTTAGGTGCACACTTTGAAAAAGGGTTAGCTCAGCTGGCTGGTTAAGGTGAAGTGAAATATCCTTCAAATCAGTCGATTCGAATACAACACTTTTTTTTAAGGGTATTAGACCAAACTGTCCGAAACTTTGACACGTCACTCCTGATCATCTAAGAATTGTCCTGACACATTGAAAATTTGGATTTTTCAAAAGAATTTTTTAACTCAGTCCAGACAAGAACCAAAATGGCGTCGAGCTCTGATATTTCGATCAATATACAATTATCGAAGGCTCTGATATGAGAATCGAAAGGGTCAGGACAATTTTACGACAATTTAGAACACTCTGGTAATCGATAAACTCGCATTTGAACGGGATAAAGGCAAAAAAAGTGTTGTATGCGCTTCTTTGCTAAAACGATGGGAATACGAGGTCTCGGAGTGAAAATTTAATTGATCTGGAAATCACAGATGGCGCAGGGGGTCCCTCTGCAGTCAATTAGGGCCCCAGAAGGCATGAATCCAGAGGATTTCTGGAGTTTTACTTCGATTTCTTTATAATTATTGTACGAAAACGACAGGTGGAATATGCCATTTGGTACAATACACAATATAATTCGACCCAGCTGTCAATATAAAAACGAACGTCGGCAACGTAGGCATTTAGAAAAATCTTCTTTATCGACGTTGATCGAGTTCCTCTTCACCTTAAAAACGTCATGGAATTTAGACTACACGAATGATTATTATAGAAAGAAATTTAATTCATATCAGATTAATTTTACAGTTTTCAGAAGCGAAGCTGCCTTACAATGAATCCTACTTTTGGCTCTTCGTCACTAATGATTCAACACCTCCGGTACAATGTCTGGAGAAACTCCCATTGACCATTGCAACAGAACTGACGGTGGCAACTCGAAATTATAATTCATACATTCTCCATGATGTCTACAATCCGAGTTATAGACACGGTGGCCAACTAAATGTTACAAAAATGGGTTATTGGAGTCCCTCTCGCGGTTTAACCGTTGAACTAACTCAATACAAATATAAGCGACGTGGTAACTTACATGGAATGTATATAAACTTTTCAATTGCGGTAGGTCCTTTCAAGCAAAATTCACGAAAAGTATCATAATATGATTCATATAATTAGAATGCACTTTTCATCATCGAAGTTTCCCAACTGCTCTTTGTAAATGATGTTATGTGTACTTATTTATTAATTTGTAATCGCAGCGAATTTGTTAAATTAAATTATTAATGGCGTTGCTGACATATAGAGGAAACTTTATGAAAAAATAACGTGTCAAACAGTGAGAAGTACATTTTAAGACTCAGTTTTTGCGTTCAGTTATGACATGATTAATGGTTTAATTGATTCATAATTTTCTGATTCTAGTTGGCGTACCCTCCTGTACCAGATTTAATGACGTACCTCACTATACCTACCAATCCTCATTTGGATACTATGCATCGTTTCCACTTCAACCTGATCTTGCAGCTGAGGGACTACTACAACTTCACGTACATATCCATGCCTTTCATATACTTATTCTAATTTATTTATCCAAAATTGTGTCAAATATTTACCCTTCTGCTCTCAGATGACGAAGGTACCAATATGGCGGCAATTTAAGTTAATGATCCATGCGAGCCCAAACAAAATTCAGTATTCACACTTTTTTAATTAATGATCTTATAGGATAAACATTGCAAATGCCTTCTGGTCCTTTGTAGTACCTGTTAGTGATACTCATGTTGGTAAATATTTGATGCTCTTTATGAAATTGTGATTCGTTTTAAGAAATAATAAAAGTGTAACTTGTCTTAAAAGCGTTTCAAATGAGGAGGTTGCGCATAAATGGTTTTTCATTTCTTGAAAGCATGAACTTGATGAGAGCATCGACGTGGGGGTACAAGGTGAACGGGACTTTTAATGGCATTCTTAAAGATATGGTAGATGGTATTGTCGATGTAGGAGCAACTCCATTCATGTTCAAGATAGAAAGGATAGACGTCGCAGAGTACACTGTTCAGGCTTGGGTAGCTCGGTGAGATTTATTAAAATTTGAATAATGGCTAAGGGGCTCAAAACATAATTAAGGTGAGGTGAAACACCCTTCAAATCAGTCGATTTGAATACAACACTTTTTTTAAAGGGTATTGGACCAAACCGTCCGAAACTTTGATACATGACTCATGATCATCTAAGAATTGTCCTGACACATTGATATTTGGATTTTTCAACAAAATTTTTTAACTCAGCCCAGACCAGAACCAAAATGGCGTCGAGCTCTCATATTTTGATCGATATACTATTATCGAAGGCTCTGATATGAGAATCGAAAGGGTCAGGACAATTTTACGACAACTTAGAACACTCTGGTAATCGATAAACTCGCATTTGAACGGGATAAAGGCAAAAAAAGTGTTGTATGCGCTTCTATGCCAAAACGATGGTAATATGAGGTCTCGGAGTGAAGATTTAATTGATCTGGAAATCACAGATGGCGCAGGGGGTCCCTCTGCAGTCAATTAGGGCCCCAGAAAGCATGAATCCAGAGGATTTCTGGAGTTTTACTTCGATTTCTTTATAATTACTGTACGAAAACGAAAGGTGGAGTATGCCATTTGGTACAATACCTAATATAATTCGACACAGCTGTCGATATAAAATCGAACGTCGGCAACGTAGGCATTTAGAAAAATCTTTTTTATCGACGTCGACCAAGTTCCTCGGCGTGTTTCACTTCACCTTAAGTACCGCTTACTTCCGCTGTAAACAGAATGATACTAATGAATGTATAAGTAGAAGTAATGTTACAAGCAGTAATTAATACTTTTATATTCTTACGATTCAGCGGTTCCTTCTTTTTCCGACATCCCCAAAGGAGTGAAGATGGTGTCGGGTTTCTAAAACCCTTTAAATCAGAAGTATGGTGGTTCATTTTAGGAGTCGGACTTATTTATTGGCTATTTTTATTATTAACAGTTCGTCTGGAACTGCACTTAACAGAAAGAAAATTGGAATGCACTTTGGATTCTCACCCAGCGTCCGAGTCGTGGCTCATTACGACTGCTGCGATAACGCAACAAGGTATTACTATTTAATTGGTTCACTTTACTTTTTACCTAATCGAATATTGTCGATGCTCATGCATAACGCAACAAGGTAGTACTATTTAATTAGTTGACTTTACTCTTTACCTAATCGAATATTTTTGGTGCTCATGCATCTCTTTAAACAGGTCTGAGTGACGGTCCTCGATTTTATTCCGGCCGTATCGTTTTTATCTTCCTCTTCCTTTGGGGTCTTTTGCTTTTCCAATTTTATTCCGCAAGCGTGGTTGGTTCGCTTCTTGCTGAAGCGCCACGTTTCATTGTTACTCTGCAGGATCTTTCTGATAGTAGTCTCCAACTTGGTGTCGAGGACATCGGCTACAACTATGATTTCTTTCGAGTAGGTTAAACTATGAATTAATTTCAATCAACTTTCCGATCAGGTTTTAAGCGTACAATTTTTTCTAGACAACAACTGATCCGGTAGCTTTAGAAATTTATCACAAAAAAATAGAAGCAAATAAGAAGAGGAAGAATAATGCCTTTTACACGATAAATGAGGGACTTCGCAAAGTTCAAGAGGGCGGTTTTGCGTTTCATGCCGATACAGCATCGGCTTATAAAATTATAGAGGTAAATATATTGAAAAAATATTTCAACGGAAATATCCTGTGGAAATGTTAGTAATTTGTTTTCGTTCTTTGAAGGCCACTTTTTCGGAACAAGAAATATGCGAATTGTCAGAAATCCCATTATTTCCGATTCAACATACTGCGACCCTTACCAGCAAGCATTCGCCATTTAAGAAAATGGTTACATACGGGTTCGTGTACATCGATCTTTTTATCTTAATTACTCAATTATTCCTATGCTTTATCATATATATTTTTTTAATTAATTGAATTGCACATGTTGGTAGAATGAGACAAATAGTCGAACGCGGAATGTCAAATCGTTTAAGGAGACATTGGTACCACAGAAAACCAGAATGTCCGGAAAGTCATAGTTCCACCCCTGTCCCGGTACCTTTGGAAGAGTTCAGTCCAGCAATAATATTTTTGCTCATAGGAACAATATTGGCATTGGCAATTATGTTTGCCGAGAGTCAAATTGAACGTCAAAAGGGTAAAAATTGCATAAAGTCCATATTAACAACTATGAATTAATATTAATAATTAACAATGCTAGTTTTGAGTGTGACCTAAGAAATATCCTACCCGGATGAACATAATATATAATATACGTGTATAGAATATATTCATATCTACGGAGTGTTTGAATCTATCATAAGGAAGTTTATGCAACATTATATGTTCAAGGAATATCAATGGTATTGTGTAGACTTTAGATGGTTAATGTTGTATTATCAAGAAACTCGGTAGAGTTTTGCATCAAATACTTTAAAAATCATGCGCTAATGGCATTAAATATTCAACGCCAAAGTTCGGTACTTCAGTTTAATAAATATTTATTTCTCAATTCAAAGAACTTATCATAGATCCATGTTTGACATAATGAAAATACGTTCCGTTTTGTAGAGCTTGTAATTTTTTCAGATTTTTCCACGTCATTCGCTATACGCTAACCTGGAAATATGTTCTGTATGTTGTGTGTATATTGAGGGATGGAAAATTTACCTTCCACAGCCCTATAATATACATACATTTTATGTATGCAAATAGACAACAGTTTACCCTCATGTTCGGTATACTTATTTTACACGTCACTTGAGCATGCACATTTTCACCGATTAAATACGTTCAGTAAACATATAATATATCTCTATTTACCAGGCACTTGTATCTGCAGTATTACACATGGAAGACATCCAATATATGTATGTTGAATGCATGTTAACGAAAGGAAAATTAACCAGTCATCGACGTAAAATATACATAATTTGACTCACATGTTTGGTATACGTATTATACACGTTATTAGAGCATCCACATTTTCACCAATTAAATACGTTTAGTGCACGTATCCCTATTTAAGAGGTATTTGTATGTGAAGGATTACACATCCAAAAGACATTTAATATGTGTAAGCTGCGCGTATATTAAGGAAATGAACATTAATTTGCCGGATACGTATGACATATATACATCATGAGACTCGGTCGTGTCTCGTTGCCAAATACTGGAAAGGAAATTTGTCGTACGGGCGAGCTCGACCGAAGTCTCTTTACCCCTACCAATTCGCAGTCCATACGCCCAGTGAACACTGTTATATAACTGTTGGGTAAATGTTACGTTTTCGAAACTAACATGTTATGTAGCATGGAAAAGTAGCAAAAGTAACATGGAAGTTAGATGTTAGTTATTATTTCTCACTAAGTAATGTAACATGTTATATAACATGTTATATCAATGTTACATTAATGTTATAATTTCAGTTACCTTAAAATAATATTAATTTTTCATCCATTTAATAAAAAAGATCACGCAATTTTATCCAAAATTATATAATTTTTTATTTTTAATTATTTCTTGGTACTTTACAATAGTTAGATATTAAATGACAAATCAGACTTTCAATGAAATTATGTAATGATAAACTATCTGATTTTACTTAAAGACAATTAGGATTTCATTCGACTAGCAAACAATGACTAATAATGTATATGCGCGTATGAATTAAAGTCACATTTTTTCATACGAGTAGTAAACAAAACATGACATATATTAATCTTATGACATTTGACGATGAATTATGACAATGACGATGACGATGATGTAATAAAATAAATAATAGCACCAATGTAGTTCCGTTTTGTTCCAAATATGTGCTCCATATACACAGTAATATCGGGACAGGAACATAATGTAAGATTGAGAGTAACAAGGTTATGCTACATTTATATAGATATGATAGTAACAAATGTTATGTAACCTGTTAGCTCCATGTTAGATGACCGTTAAGTTACTGCATTGTAACAAATGTCATGTAACTAGTTAGCTCTATGTTACGTACCTGTTAGGTTATTACATTATAACAAACGTTATGTTATTTGTTAGTTTTAAATTACGTAACTGTTAGGTTTGGTGTTCAGTGGGCGGTTGGTGTAGGCAGCCTACAAGGCGATTCTCCGCCCTCGGCTATTAAACCGCAATATCTAATTAACAAATTCTTCAACACTTATGTATCAAGAGTGTTTCTTAATAAGGATATTCTAAGAATTACATTCACCTTTAATTCAAGCGATTTACATTTTTATTCCCGGAGATATTCAAAGACATCAATGTCACCAAGTACGCCGAGATTTCAGTTTTTTTGGTATCGCCGTTTTTCGCATGTACGTCTCCAATTTTCCTCGCTAGGCGGCGCCACCTTCTTCCTTTTCTCTGTATAGCGGAACAGCTGTCACATATAGAGTTCGAAAATTCTCGGTAACATTAAATTGGAGAAGGTAACTGTGAAACATACCGTAAGTTACCGGGAACATTAAGAATTTAAGAAAACATTAAATTTGTAATTTATACTTTAGGTTTCTTCGTTTAAATAACTTTTTTTTTTCCAACCAACTTCAAAGTTCAACCTAAAGAGTAATAATTACTATTAGAAAATATTGATTATAGGGTCGTATTTAGCTCCAGCCAAAAATATTCACGTATGTACAACTTCACGGAAAATGCCATGCCATTTGTTTCAAAGAAACTGATATTTTATTCTGCGACAAAGCGAATGGGAGGTTTTGATTGGCTACGAAGAACGTACAACGGAAATTCCCCTCTACGATGTTTCTCTATAGCTAATTGAAACCTCTCGTTCGCTCTGTTGAAAAATTCAAATTCTCATAATTTCTCGATAAAAAAGGCTTTGGCGAAATTACCGATAAGTTACCGGGAATTTCTCTTCGTTTCTGACGTAACTTACTGGATTTAGAACTCTAGTCACATACGGGCCAAGTGTGTTGAGGTTAGGAGTATGAGGTTACAGTGTCGAGTGTTGTGCATATTTTGAAGTTTCAAAATATAAATTAATTTATAATTATCGTCCAGACCACGAGATGAAGCCGACTTAACACGCAATTGGTCGTCAACGAATTTAGGTAAGTTCTCAGAGTTTATGCATATTTTTATTAATCATGAACGTTTTCTTTCATTATGTTACAAAGCTTTGTAAAACCTTATTTTGTTACAGAGAAATCTAAGTGATGAACGACAAAAAGATGCTTGATGTCTTATGGATAATATCATCCGATATAATTTATGTAATCTTCACCATCATCGGTGATTCATAATAACGTAAGTAAGGTCAGAGGAAAGAAATCCTTCATTTACGAAATTAAATATATCTGAGTTCTTAGTACATTGTATTAACAAAGGAATCAGGTAATAATTATGATAAAAGTCCATACGGTACAAACTAAATATTTAATCCTAAATCAGAAATGAATAATCGATCATCATTGACTCGTCAATGTAAATATTACTCATCATTAACAAAATTGTTTTAGCAAATATGTAATTTACTGTTGACATCATTCATAATGCTTTTAACAAATTTTAATAAAATGATCCAGTTTATAAAGATATTTGTGTATCCACTATCCCACTGAACACCAAACCTAACAGTTACGTTACTTAAAACTAACAAATAACATAACGTTTGTTACAATGTAATAACCAAACAGTTACGTAACTTAGAGCTAACCAGTTACATGACATTTGTTACAATGCAGTAACTTAACGGTTATGGAACATGGAACTAACAGGTTACATAACATTTGTTACTATCATATCTATATAAACGTAGCATAACTTTGTTACTCTCATCTTACATTATGTTACTGTCCTGATATTACTGTGTATATGCAGCACATATTTGTAACAAAACAGAATTACATTGGGGCTGTCATTTATTTTATTACATCATCATCATCGTCATTGTCATAATTCATCGTCAAATGTCATAAGATTAGTATATGTCATATTTTGTTTACTACTCGTATGAAAAATGTGACTTTAACTCATACACGCATATACATTATCAGTCATTGTTTGCTAGCCGAATGAAATCCTAATTGTCTTTAAGTACAATTAAATAGTTTATCATTCACATAATTTCATTTACAGTCTGATTTATTATATAATACCTAACTATTGCCAAGTGCCACGAAATAATAAAAAATTATATATTTTTTGATAAAATTGCTCCATTTTTTTAACTTAAATGTATGAAACATTAATATGATATGTTACATAACATGTTACCGTACCGAGTGGGAAATAAGAACTAATATCTAATTTGCATGTTACTTTTATGCTACATAACATGTTAGTTTCAAAAACGTAACATTTACCCAACAGTTATATAACAGTGTTCAGTGGGATATAAATCAGCATACCTTATGCATTACTTAAATTATTTTACTGTCTTACAGTTACCAAGAATGAAACAGCGGACAGAAATACAATGTGCTATCTAACACATTTAGGCCCATGGAGGATCGCAGGGTATTTGGAGTATTAAGTGGCTGATGGCAATGTTGAATGGGTGAATATAATTTTCTGTTGATATCACCAAGAGACGTGGTAGCGTCTCAGACAAGTTTATTGGCATCGATTGTACATGGACGTCGTCTTAGCGCTACTCTCTTTTACTCTAAACATCGTTTAATCGGGCATTTAATTTTTCTTTAAACACCTAGTATTTTCGTCATGAAACTTTACAGAATTCTTGGCATACATGGGTTTCATTGTTCATTTCCTCTCTTTCATTAAAGATGAAAATCGTTGTAACCCATAAGTCCGTTCAGGAGTTATGTTGATTTGAAATTTCCAGTCATGTCAGATTAATACATTTTATCACCGATGTCGTCGTCGTCTCCTTCACGTACGAACCTACACTAGAGAAAAACCCTCACTCATGAGATGACACATACAAAGCCTGTATGCTCTCAAGCCGGGTTTTCAAGGCATTGCTAGTTCAGAAGTGAGGAAGACGGAAGGTCAGGATGTCATGAGACTGGGCCTTGAAACTTGTCTATCTTCTTTTAATTCGGATCTATTATATTGGTACATTTCGAGACAATAAAAGAATATATAATAACGTTCAAACTTAAAGTGGAACTGTACATTGTATATATTTTTTTATATTAATACATACAATTTGTCAAGGAATTTCGTATTCGTATAGCATTATATGTGGCTAGTACAGATAAAAACGAAAGAAATTTTTCAAAATCCACGTAATTAATGACCCAAGTTCAAAATAAAAATTGATCAGGTAAGTATTACTCTTATTATTTATTACTTAAAAGGTACAAAAAAGGCATTAAAAAAAATTATTATATACAAATTATTATACACGCAAGATAAACAGGGTTCGGGGGTAGTTACCCCAGCCAATATTTTTGGTTGGAAAAATCCAAAGGCACGCCGTATTTCCTTCGTGTTCGTACGAAACATATATTTTTTCAGATTTTTAGGCTTGAATTTGACCAGTTTTTGCATAAACGTAATCATACTTAGGGGTGCCTCACCCCTTAATTTTTTTTTTCAATTGAGAAAATTATATTTTTCGTGTTTCGTTATGAGAAAGCTTTTTCAGGTGGATAGGTTAAAAAATATTATATTCTTGTGGGTGAAACTGCCAAATCTCCCCTTGACATGCCTTGCTTTGAATGGTGGTTTCACCCCCTTTAAGGTGAAGTGAAACCCCCTTCAAATCAGTCGATTCGAATAAAACACTTTTTTTTAAGGTTATTAGACCAAACTGTCCGAAACATTGACACGTCACTCCTAATCATCTAAGAATTGTCCTGACACATTCAAAATTTGGATTTCTGGAAAAAAATTTTCAACTTATCCCAGACCAGAACCAAAATGGCGTAGAGCCCTCATATTTCGATGAATATACAATTAACGAAGGCTCTGATATGAGAAACGAAAGGGTCAGGACAATTTTACGACAACTTAGAACACTCTGGTAATCGATAAACTCGCATTTGAACGGGATAAAGGCAAAAAAAGTGTTGTATGTGCTTGTATGCCAAAACGATAGTAATACGAGGTCTCGGAGTGAAGACTTAATTGACCTGGAAGTCACAGATGACGCAGGGAGTTCCTCTGCAGTCAATTAGGGCTTCAGAAAGCACGAATCCAGAGGATTTCTGGAGTTTTATTTCGATTTCTTTATAATTATTGTACGAAAACGATAGGTGGAGTATGTCACATGGTACAATACCCAATATAATTTAATACAGCTATCAACATAAAAACGAACGTCGGCAACGTAGACATTTATAAAAATCTTCTTTATCAACGTCGATCAAGTTCCTCAACGTGTTTCACTTCACCTTAAACCACACAATACTGAGAAATGTACTGGCACTTTTAGGGACTTTAACTTGGTAGAGTTTTAATATGAACCGCTCCGTAGCAGAATATCTGGATTCCACTTGACTTCTTTTAGGTCTATTTTTAATCTCGCCAGACCTATTAAAATATACCTAATGGAAACACCGAGTATTGCATTTTACTTTAACAAATACTACACGTTCTGGAACATAGACATATAGTATGGACTGCGCATCTGATGTCACTCTTTTCGCGTAATAGAAAGAGACAAAAACATGTAAGTGCCACTCTCTTTCTCTCTTTACTCTTTTCTGATTGGTCAGAACTGATGAGCTGTTAATGTTTCGTGATGTAACGTATCTTGTTAGGACTCTTTTATCGCGAAATCCTGAAAGGCACCGATTCAGGAAATGTTTTTTTCTTCTACGCGCAGATCTTAGTCTCTACAAAACATTAAAGAGGTTCAGTGCCCCTTACCCACTGAATACCTAACCTGACAGTTACATAACTTAAAATTAACAAGTAACATAACGTTTGTTACAATGTAATAACCTAACAGTTACGTAACATAGTTACATGACATTTGTTACAATGCAGTAACTTAACAGTTATGTGGACAACTTGGAGCTAACAGATTACATAACATTTGTGACTATCATATCTATATAAATGTAGCGTAACTTTGTTACTCTCATCTTACATTATGTTACTCCCCTAATATTACTGTGTATATGGAGCACGTATTTGTAACAAAACAGAACTACGTTGGTGCTGTCATTTATTTTATTACATCATCGTCATCGTTATTGTCTAAATTCATTGTCAAATGCCATAAGATTAATATATGTCATATTTTGTTTACTACTCGTATGAAAAAATGTGATTTTAATTCATACGCGCACATACATTATCAGTAATTGTTTGCTAGTCGCATGACATCCTAATTGTCTTTAAGTAAAATTAGATAGTTTATCATTTACATAATTTCATTGAAGGTCTAACTTGTCATTTAATATCTAACTATTGTCAAGTACCAAAAAATAATTAAAATTAAAAAATTATATCATTTTATATATATCTTACATAGCTTCAATAAATATTTATATACGATTAATTTACGGATATTCCACGTTTCGCGGTGCCTGGGTATTAACCACGTTCCCAGTGAATACTGTTATATAATTTGGGTAAATGTTACGTTTTCGAAACTAACATGTTATGTAGCATAAAAGTAACATGCAAGTTAGATGTTAGTTATTATTTCCCACTCAGTAATGTAGCATGTTATATAACATGTTATATCAATGTTACATTAATGTTATTATTTCAGTTACCTTAAAATAATATTACTTTTTCATCCATTTAATGAAAAAGATCACGCAATTTTATCAAAAATTACATAATTTTTTATTTTTAATTATTTCTTGATACTTGACAATAGTTAGATATTAAATGATAAATCAGACTTTCAATGAAATTATGTAATGATAAACTATCTGATTTTCCTTAAAGACAATTAGGATTTCATTCGACTAGCAAACAATGACCGATAATGTATATGCGCGTAAGAATTAAAATCACATTTTTTCATACGAGTAGTAAACAAAATATGACATATATTAATCTTATGACATTTGACAATGAATTTAGACAATGACGATGACGATGATATAATCAAATAAATGACAGGACCAATGTAGTTCTGTTTTGTTACAAATATGTGCTGCATATACACAGTAATATCAGGACAGTAACATAATGTAAGATGATAGTAACAAATGTTATGTAACCTGTTAGTTCCATGTTCCATAACCATTAAGTTACTGCATTGTAACAAATGTCATGTAACTGGTTAGCTCTAAGTTACATAACTGTTAGGTTATTACATTGTAACAAACGTTATGTTATTTGTTAGTTTAACGTTACGTATATGTTAGGTATGGTGTTCAGTGGGATTGATGTTAAGCGCTGTTTAAACGATGTTTTAATCCAATTTTCCAGGTAACAATAGTATAAAACAATGTTTATACATCGCTTACCATCAATAACTAGTGTAAACGTATATACTCCTTGACTGTAATTGCACGAGCCGGTAAAAGAACAGGTAATGTAAGATGCGAGTAACAAAGTTATACTATATTTATATGGATATGATAGTATAAAATGTTATGTAACATGTTAGCTCCATGTTAGCTCCATGTTACATAGCCGTTAAGTTACTGCATTGTAACAAATGTCATGTAACTAGTTAGCTCTATGTTACGTACCTGTTAGGTTATTACATTGTAACAAACGTTATGTTATTTGTTAGTTTTAAGTTGCGTAACTGTTAGGTTATTACATTGTAACAAACGTTATGTTATTTGTTAGTTTTAATTTACGTAACTGTTAGGTTTTGTGTTCAGTGGGATTCCACAATCAAACTAGTTTTTCTGATACCTAGCACTGAACGAGCAAAATGTAGATCAGGCAATTGATAGGGAATGTAAAAACTCTTCGGAATCGTATGTATCTCAAATGGTACTTGACCTTCGGCAAGATCACCGGCAACTCCCTGTCACCTTTGACCATCCACTGCGTGAATACGTTACCTACAGGAGGGTGCTTATAAATACCGGTGAATCAATCTGGAGATTCAGTAAGATTTTAAAAAGGACACGGGTAGGAAGAGAATGGCGTTCTCCTGTGTTTTTAGGGTTCTCTTCACCGTCGTGGCAGCAGCTATTCTGGTGAACGCCGAACGTGAATTCTACTCGGAAAAATATGATCACATTGACGTCGACGAGATTTTGGCAAATCCACGAACGAGGAACCAATATTACAAATGCGTCTACGGCAGTGCGCCCTGCGTTACGGCTGCTGCCAAATACTTAAAGGGTACTGAAGAAATTTTCATATTGTATGTAGTCGTCATAATAGATTGCCAGTAATTCTCAAAAGGGACACGAAGTAGAACGGACTAGAACTTGCAATAAACATTTTTATTAAGAAGGATACCACTGTAAATGTCGAAAAATTACATATTTCCCAATGATTACAGTGTTATATAACTGTTGGGTAAATGTTACGTTTTTGAGACTAACACGTTATGTAGCATAAAAGTAACATGGAAGTTAGATGTTAGTTATTATTTCCCACTCAGTAATGTAGCATGTTATATAACATGTTATATCAATGTTACATTAATGTTATTATTTCAGTTACCTTAAAATAATATTACTTTTTCATCCATTTAATGAAAAAGATCACGCAATTTTATCAAAAATTACATAATTTTTTATTTTTAATTATTTCTTGATACTTGACAATAGTTAGATATTAAATGACAGATCAGACTTTCAATGAAATTATGTAACGGTAAACTATCTGATTTTACTTAAAGACAATTAGGATGTCATTCGACTAGCAAACAATTACTGATAATGTATATGCGCGTATGAATTAAAATCACATTTTTCATACGAGTAGTAAACAATATATGATATACATTAATCTTATGACATTTAACGATGAATTATGATAATGACGATGACGATGATGTAATAAAATAGATAACAGTTAGCACCAATGCAGTTTTGTTTTGTTACAAATATGTGCTGCATGTACACAGAAATATCAGGACAGTAACATAATGTAAGATGAGAGTAACAAAGTTACGCTACNAGTTTTTGTGAACGGGTATTGTTGAAATATGTCTCTGCTGGAATGTTAATTAAGTAATTTAAATTACTATTAATGAGCTATATGTTCGTCTTTATCCGTTGAAAAATACGGATAACGATATACTACCTTACTTACTGTCTCTGTTATTCACAGATAAATTCCCTGAAGCCATCGTTACAAATTGCAAATACTGCACGGAGAGGCAGAAAGTGAATTTTGGAAAATTGGTCACGTGGTTCGTGGAGAATGACGAGAAGGGATGGAATGCTCTGCTGGAGAAACTTATCGACGATTATGGGAAAGGAAAAAGTACCATATAGAAATGAGGATTCAATGTATTTCAGCATTACAATTGTCCTAAGCCTGAGATATCGGCTCGCAATGTAAAAACATGATATACACATTAACAATGAATTCCGTCATTATAAAATTGCATCTCTGTAATTACTAAAGTCTAACCACTTATAATCATTTTCGCGAAAAAATAGGATATTATTTTTTAACGCGTTTACTAATGCAGGAAAGTGATTATTGGTACAATTCTTAATTGAATTCTTAATCGAATGCAGCTGACTAAATTATCGTACCAAAATGTAAACAGACATCATATACGAACTAACTAGTAAGAACAGTTGTATCGTATCAAATCAATTACGGCGTTGATTTCGACGCGTAATGGATGGGTAATAAAACTTGTATTATTGCAGATATAACACGACACTCTACATCTCATTCCGATTTCCATATCTCGATTGTGAAAAAAGGCTATGAAATAGCCAATTATAATTTTAATAAGACACATTAGTCATTCCGAGGGGTTCGGAAAAAATGTAACTTCCTAAAAAAATTTACTTCATCATTGTAAGGACTTTATTGTCACGACATAGTCGGTCCTGTTTTGTGGTTTCAGTTCACGTAATCCTCGCAGGTTAGATCCATCCTCTTCTCCCTGATCATCTGTCCTCTTCAAGGAACTTCGCGAAGGATTCCACATACACCTCCTCAGGGTCATATTTCTGCACAAACAAGTCCCAGACTTCCGGTCGGTGGTATCTCAAGTGCGCCATTACTGTTTTTGCAATCTCCTTCTGGCGATTATTACATTTTATGCAGTTGGTTGCAAGAGCATCTGGTAGTACATCTACAATCATGATGATTAATTGGTACGGTTTAATAAATAGTTTGTTACAATGTCTTTCACGAAATCGACTGAAGACAATAACATGCGAAAGCGTTACGCCGAAGAGGATACGGATGACAAAAGTCCACATTATTTTCTTAAGACTTCATTATAAACGCGTTACCAGATCTGGTCGGGCTTACTCCATTTACTCGCGAAATGAAACCGGGTATTTGACCTTCAAAACTGAAGATCGATGACCAAATAATTAACTGAAGACAATAACATGTGAAAGTGTTGCGAAGAAGAGGATACGGATGACAAAAGTGCACATTATTTTCTTAAGACCTCATTATAAACGCGTTCCTAGATATGGTCAGGCTTACTTCATCTACTCGCGAAATGAAACCGGGTATTTGACCTTCAAAACTGGAGATCGATGACCAAATCATTAATAAAGAGGATACGGATGACAAAAGTCCACATTGTTTTCTTAAGACTTCATTATAAACGCGTTACCAGATCTGGTCAGTCTTACTCCATCTACTCGCGAAATGAAACCGGGTATTTGACCTTCAAAACTGGAGATCGATTACCAAATAATTAATAAAGAGGATACAGATGACAAAAGTCCACATTATTTTCTAAAGACTTCATTATAAACGCGTTCCTAGATATGGTCAGGCGTACTCCATCTACTCGCGAAATGAAACCGGGTATTTGACCTTGAAAACTGGAGATCGATGACCAAATAATTAACTGAAGACAATAACATGCGAAAGCATTGCGACTAAGAGGATACGGATGACAAAAGTGCACATTATTTTCTAAAGACTTCATTATAAACGCGTTCCTAGATATGGTCAGTCTTACTCCATGTACTCGCGAAATGTAACCGGGTATTTGACCTTGAAAACTGGAGATCGATGACCAAATAATTAACTGAAGAAAATAACATGTGAAAGCGTTGCGACGAAGAGGATACGGATGACAAAAGTCCACATTATTTTCTTAAGACTTCATTATAAACGCGTTTCTAGATATGGTCAGGCGTACTCCATCTACTCGCGAAATGAAACCGGGTATCTGACCTTCAAAACTGGAGATCGATGACCAAATAATTAACTGAAGACAATAACATGCGGAAGTGTTGCGACGAAGAGGATACGGATGACAAAGGTCCACATTATTTTCTTAAGACTTCATTATAAACGCGTTACCAGATCTGGTCAGTCTTACTCCATCTACTCGCGAAATGAAACCGGGTATTTGACCTTCAAAACTGGAGATCAATAACCAAATAATTAATAAAGAGGATACAGATGACAAAAGTCCACATTATTTTCTTAAGACTTCATTATAAACGCGTTTCTAGATCTGGTCAGGCTTACTCCATCTACTCGCAAAATGAAACCGGGTATTTGACCTTCAAAACTGGAGATTAATGATCGAATAATTAACTGAAGACAATAACATGCGAAAGCGTTGCGCCGAAGAGGATACGGATGACAAAAGTCCACATTATTTTCAAAAGACTTCATTATAAACGCGTTCCTAGATCTGATCTGTCTTACTCCATCTACTCGCGAAATGAAACCGGGTAGTTGACCTTGAAAACTGGAGATCGATGATCGAATAATTAACTCCCCTCGGGACGCCAATTAAATCCGGATGTATCTTGTACCTCCTTGTACTCATAAAAACGCGATAACTCAAGGTGATACGGTAGAAATGGAAAGATTAAAACCTGTATCATTGAAGTATATTGATATGCACCTATTTTAAAAGTGTTTTTGCTAAAAAAGATCTACTTTCAGAGACGATCCACGTGCGATCATTGATAATGGTTCAATGGCAAGTAGGATATAGTGCTCAAATTCGTCTTTGAACGATTTCATAATGCACTTGACGTTTAAAGTAACGTTTAACATTGGATTGAATTAAGAACAATATAACAGAAATATATTTTTTGGGAAAATACGAATACAAAACGCGTTTTATAATAATTATTCCTATAATCAGTGCATTCTTGAAATTTAAGGACATCATTTACCCAGCCGTTGAAAAGGCCATTATTAACACTATTTCTACCAAGATTTTGTGTATACCTATTTCGACCAAAAGGTTTTGACGAGTTGGAGGAAAATGATACCGCTAAATAAATTTAACAATTATTATACGAAAACTCAAAACATTAATTGAGAAAAAATGATTAAACTTTGAAAATAATTTCAAGTTAAAATTTTAAAAGGTGTCTTTTGACACCTTTGGTAGAAATAGTGTTAATAAATTATTCATGATATTGGAGTCCTCGGTTGCCGTCAGAAAAAATTCTTCCATTCCCCCAAATCAAGCGTAAAATCATTAAAGCTATCTAATGACATCTCTATCAGAGTTGCCTCGAAGCTACGAAATTTTACCGATTGGAATTTTAATGGCGGATGTTAATTTACGTTTCGGGCCTTTACTTAACCACACGTAAGAATATTATTTTAAAGCAATATAAAAGCTCACATTCTAAATTGGTAATAAATTATTTAAGAGCCTCTGATTAAAATAATGTTAATTTAAATTAAATGAAGAAACCCATCCTGAGCTAACAGCAACAAACCGCGTCGTTCCAACTAGGACTCTTACAAGGAAGGTATCCCAAATCTGATTTGATTTCTCTTATAATATGTTACAGAAGACTAAAAACTAAGCGACACGTATTTTTTTTATCTGTCATTAAACACTTTAAGGGGGTGAAACTACCATCCGAAGTAAGGCCTGCGAGGGGTGGCTCACCCCTTAAGGTGAAGTGAAACACGTCGAGGAACTTGCTCGACGTCGATAAAGAAGATTTTTCTAAATGCCTACGTTGCCGACGTTCCTTTTTATATTGACAGCTGTGTTAAATCATATTGGGTATTGTACCAAATGGCATACTCCACATGTCGTTTTCGTACAATAATTATAAAGAAATCTAAATAAAACTCCAGCAATCCTCTGGATTCATGTTTTCTGGGGCCCTAATTGACTGCGGAGGGATCGCCTGCGCCATCTGTGACTTCCAGGTCAATTAAATTTTCACTCCGAGACCTCGTATTCCCATTGTTTTAGTATAGAAGCGAATACAACACTTTTTTTGCCTTTATCCCGGTCAAATGCGAGTTTATCGATTACCAGAGTGTTTTAAATTGTCGTAAAATTGTCCTGACCCTTTCGATTCTCATATCAGAGTCTTCGATAATTGTATATTGATCGAAATATGCGCGTTCGACGCCATTTTGGTTCTGGTCTGGAATAAGTTAAACAATTTTTTCCAAAAATCCAAATTTTGAACGTGTCTGGACAATTCTTAGATGATCAGGAGTGACGTGTCAAAGTTTCGGACAGTTTGGTCTAATACCCTTAAAACAAAGTGTTGTATTCGAATCGACTGATTTGAAGGGGGTTTCACTTCACCTTAACTTTTTTTTGTTTAATTGGAAAAATTATATTTTTCATTTCTCGTTATGAGAAAGCTTTTCCAGATGGATTGGTTAAAATATATTATGTCCTTGTGGGTGAAACTGCCAAATCGCCTCTTGACATGCCTTTCTTTGAATTTTGATTTCACCCCCTTAAAGTGTTTAATGACAGATAAAAAGAAATACGTATCGTTTAGTTTGAGGACTTTTATAACATATTATAAAAAAAATGAAATCGGAGAGATCGAGCTGGGATACCTTCCTTGTTAGTGAAAAGACCTTCAAATTTTGACTAAACTTAGCGACACGTATTTTTTTTTACCTGTCATTCAACACTTTAAGGGGTTGAAACCACCATCCAAAGTAAGGCCTGCGAGGGGTGGCTCACCCCTTAATTTTTTTTTTGTTTAATTAAGAAAATTATATTTTTAATTTCTCGTTATGAGTAAGCTTTTCCAGATGGATTGATTAATAAATATTATGTCCTTGTGGGTGAAACTGCCAAATCGCCTCTTGACATGCCTTTCTTTGAATTTTGATTTCACCCCCTTAAAGCGTTTAATGACAGATAAAAAATAATACGTATCGCTTAGTTTGAGGTCTTCTATAACATATTATAAAAAAAAATCAAATCGGAGAGATCGACCTGGGATACCTTCCTTGTCAGTGAAAAGCCCTTCAAATTTTGCATTCGGTCATTTCTCTAGGTCATTTTGTATACTTCCGATCCCGAAGAGTGGCACGGAAACGAAGTTTTCTGTTATAGAAAGTACTTACTTCTTAGTGCATGTGCTTCGGGTGTACAAGGTCCTCTGTCCAACAAACAAGCCATGTACTGCTTAAAAACTCGTTCATTGAAAAGAATGGCTTCCACGTTAACGTGGTCGTACATGGTGGAGTAAGAATCCTCTGCCAGAATCATGCCACTACCGATTAGAAGTAGCCCCAGCAGAATGCCAAATTCCATATTTCTGAAATGTTTATTTCCCCCACCGCTTCGATTAAACACAAATTTCGCACTAAATGAGATGTAATTGATACAACAATTGTTATGTTACTCCTTTCATCACTCCCGCCATTAACACTAGGTTTACGGGACCTGTCAATTTGACGGAATTCAAACTTCGAAAAGAAACACCGAAAAAACCATAGCATTAATTTTAATCATTTTTGTATCGTAAATTAATCATTTCACCCAAAGAATTTCTACACACAATTATTTTTTCCTAAGCCTTCTAATTATTAAAATCTGTATGTAGTATACCTATCTCTACGAAACCCGTGAAATTGACGGACTAGCTAATTTCATAAACAATTCATATATATTTACTTCATTGCAGAGAGTGTAAGGCGAAGATGAGAGTGAAAGTTTGCATTGAAAGTGGAAAGATAGAAGGATTTTCGGATAGTGAAGAGGAAAACTTCTTGAAAGGGTGTCGTGGCAAGAAAAGGATGCGCATTCTTTCTAGTTCTGACTCCGAGGATGAGAGGACGAGCATTCCAATAATTTCCGTGATAATTTTTAAAAAAGGACTTTTTACTTATTAATCATTCATTTAAACGTAAAGCCTAGTGTTGTTTAATTCAGACTTAATTTGAATAAATCGATTTTTTAAAGAAAATGCGTGTTTTCGTTTACCCGTCAATTTGATGGATGCTCGTAGAAACAGGTATATATAAAATGCCCGTAAACCTAGTGTTAATATGCACGAAAAACAAATGAACTGAACCGGCTGGTCTAAAAAATCTAAACTATGTCAATTTTATTTAGAAACTTTCCCCCCGGGAAATCATTCACCAAGTCGTCGCGATTGTCATATCGTTGCAATGATTTCTGCGAAATGGATTTATATTATTGGCAAATTTGAATTTCGTCACCAACCTGCGAGTCCGTAGACGTTTTCCTACAAATGACAAATTCAGGACAAATGTCCTGTGGTCCTGACACCTGTTGGAAGGAACTTTCCGATGGCGTCGCAGAGGATGCCGAATTTCTTTCGGCAGCCGAGTTACAATTACAGGGTCAACGAATTAATTGCGCCACTCGCGAGAGAATCGGTGATCTTTATATTGTTTTTTGGCTCTGCGGGGGAACAATGGACCTGTTTATAAATCTGTACGTTAGCTGGAAAGCAACACGGACAATAAATGGCCATTGCACAGTGCCCGGCACGTTTCGATTGCCTTGATCGACGGTTTATGATGCCTATCGTATATTTCCGCGTCACGTAATTCGCGGTATTTTCTTCGGAATTATCACCCGAACGTGACCCATACGGATTCGCCTTAGGACCGGCACATGGCTCCAGGGTCAGCTAAAAAGGCACGTATCCGGAGATACGGAGCATCCTTCTCGGCGTCACTCGAAATGGACCCGAATTGTCGTGAGATTTGTGGAGCTACTTTTTCAAACTCGGAAAAATTCTCGTAAGACTCTAAAGGGAAATATCTCCCTAGTAGCATAGAATAATTTCTAAATATTTATTTTTAATCTTTGCTAAAGGTCTCAAGCGACAGGTGTTTTAAAATGTCCTGTAGATTTCATTCGAAGATATCTGAAAAATTTGATAAAAATCACAATGACATATTNGAAATATCTCAAGCGACAGATGTTTTATGATGTTTTGTAAATTTAATTCGAAGATATCTGAAATATTTGATGAAAATCTCAATGACATATTCAGTTTTAATAATTTATGGACCCTCGAAATAAACCCAAATTGTGAGATTTGTAGAGCTACTTTTTGAAACTCGGAAAAATTCTCATAGGACTCTAAAGGGAAATATTTCCCTAGTAGCATAGAATAATTTCTAAATATTTATTTGTAATCTTTGCTAAATATCTCAAGCGACAGATGTTTTAAAATGTCCTGTAGATTCTACGATATATGTATTGAAAATGTAGGCGTGACAAAGATTTAAATATATACTCACGGGATATTTTCATCATGCATACCATAGATAATGTAAGTTTTTTATATTTATGTCCTAGTTTGTACGACTACTATAAGTATATTATACTTCATACTTTGCCTGGTAATCATAATTTACTCAGTGGTAAAAAATCATGATGAATGGTCACCAGTCAAAGAGGAAGTAAGTAACAAATCACAGTATGGACGAAATTAACAGTTTTATCAAGGTGGAATTTAGATATAAACATTAAGTATGTCTGAAAAATGTTAGGTTACATAAGGTGTCTTTTTATTTTTCTAAACATATTTTCAACGATATTGATTAACCTTTGGTAGATGTCTAGTAGAGCTATGATATATTTTGTATGCGTCAAGAAATAAGTAGATATTTGTAGATCAATAGTGGATATATAATTTTCATCTTCAATAGACATAGATAGTTATATATATCCTTTAGATATTTTTTTAGGTGGATGGTAGACGATATACATTAGCTATATCTATAGACCTAAATTAGATAATTAATTTACGTATATTCCATTTCATGGGTTGCTTGAGGCCTCCTTCGGGTATGTACGATCACACACAGGAACAAAATTTTTACTTATAAGAATACTCGCGCAAAAATACAGGATTGCAAACAATGCATTATTTTCGGTAATGTATTAGAATTTTATTACGCATTCATTTTCATAATTAATTATGGTAGAGAGTGGATTATTCTCTACATTGTAACAAATAATGAGATCGTGGCCCATTAACCTTTATTTTTTAATAAGTAATGGATTCATGTCTTATTAACAGTTGGTCCTCCCCAGGCATCGGACAACATGGAATATCCGTAAATTGACCGTATATACATGTTTATTGAATGTATGTAAGATGTATATAGATATCTATGAACTCTATTTTAGATACACTCAAAGGCTAGACGTTCGGATATGATACGTAATATACATCGTGGATATCTAAAATAGATGGTTAATCCACGTCTACAGATATTCATATGTATTTGAAAAAAAAATTAAATTCAACACCTTTTGAGAACTTGTTTAGTACAGTTATGCACATAAATCCTGCTGTTTTTCATATATAAACATTTTTTTGCAATTGTCGGAATTTGAACTTCCCAGTGAACACTGTTATATAACTGTGGGGTAAATGTTACGTTTTCGAAACTAACATGTTATGTAACATGTTATATTAATGTTATAATTTCAGTTACCTTAAAATAATATTAATTTTTCATACACGCACTAAAAAAGATCACGCAATTTTATCCAATATTATATAATTTTTTATTATTAATTATTTGTTGGTACTTGACAATAGTTAAATAAATATTAAATGACAAATCAGACTTTCAATTAAATTACGCAATGATAAACTATCTGATTTTACTTAAAGACAATTAGGATTTCATTCGACTAGCAAACAATGACTGATAATCTATATGCGCGTACTAATTAAAGTCACATTTTTTCATACGAGTAGTAAACAAAACATGAGATATATTAATCTTATGGCCTTTGACGATGACGATGATGTAATAAAATAAATGACAGTTAGCACCAACATAGTTCTATTTTGTTACAAATACGTGCTCCATATACACAGTAATATCAGGGCAATAACATAATGTAAGATGAGAGTAAGAAAGTTATGCTACATTTATATAGCTATGATAGTAACAAATGTTATGTAACCTGTTAGCTCCATGTTACATTACTGTTATGTTACTGCATTGTAACAAATGTCATGTAGCTAGTTAGCTCTATGTTACGTGACTGTTAGGTTATTACATTGTAACAAACGTTATGTTATTTGTTAGTTTAATGTTACATATATGTTAGGTTCAGTGGGTACTGCTGTCGCGCCCGAAACTGGTCTGCATCAAGTCCGTACTGACTTTATAAAATTGGCCAAAAATGTTGACTCGGGAAATGCATCTTCTACTTAATTACAGTTTGCAATTAAATACCAGGTTGATTGAAGCACCTAAAATAAATATTACGCGTATTTCATGAATACAACATAAATAAAAAAGTGCACATTATAAACATCGATGCATTGTGAAAAATGAATTTTTTTGCAAATGGTGCTCAAATTCGTCGTTCTTTGATTCTTGTCGGTAAGTCAAGATGCAGCAAACATTTTTTCCCGCCAGTATTTTTATAAGCTTCGTTAATATGCATTCCATCAGAATTACAATCAGATAATGAACTTATCATTTTTTTTACACAGAAGGTATTGCTTGATAAGATCAATTGTACTGCGTGTCTGCAAATAATAACATTTGAACTGTCCATTACATATTATTCAGTCGTGGCTGTTACGTCATGCACTCAAAATACATTGTTATATAATTCATAATTTAAACATTCTATTTAATGAGCATCTATAAACGTATTTTTGTAACGATATATCTCTGCTCAGTTGTGTTCATTTGCGCTCAAATTAAAACCTTTTTCAGTAAACAGACTTTTTCCTATATTTTTTTAAAAATCTACATTTTCTCGAAATTGCGAAATCTTTGCGAGCTTGACATTTGACATGACTTTCAGTCATCGCAACCCCAATGGACACCATTATTCCAATAAGTAACAAGAAAATAACTGGAACAAATTCGTCAAAAGTCACCGGGGAAGGTTCGGTATTGTGATTTCGGAAACATCTTGGTTGTGGTGTACTCCAAAAACTGTATTGTCGTCGTATTAAACCGCTCTCCACCATTTGTCGAGTTCTAGATAAAACAAAAAGAAGGAAAAGGCACAAGTAAATATTATAAACACTTTACAACATACAGCAGCATACATTATCCAATTGTTCAAGAATTTTTAAGAGAAAATCCTGATTCGTCATAAAAAAATTCATGTAAAAATGAAATATTTGTAGAATATCAATATTTCGATAAAACCNATATGTTTATAAATTATTGAAACTAAATATGTCATTGAGATTTTCATCAAAATTTCAGATATCTTCGAATGAAATTTACAAAACATCTTAAAACATCTGTCGCTTGAGATATTTAGCAAAGTTCACAAACAAATATTTAGAAATTATTCTACGCTACTAGGGATGGGTTTTTCGGCACCTACAATAAATATACTGTTGTCTTGGAAAAACGATCTAAAAAACACCTAATTAAGTTCCATATTTACGAACACTAACCCATAAGTTAAGATTTCTTTAAAAGGTGAGTTCTTGGCTGTAGCTAAATATGCTATCCTGGGAGAAAAGAGATGTACGTCTTGCAAATCACAGATTTCGTCATCAGTAAAGGTGTCCTGAAAAGAAAACTTTTTCATTTTTTATCGTTTTTTCTGTTTTTACTTAACTCTAATCAGAAGCTAAAGCTTTATATATTGGGTTGATGCATAAGTCATTGCGCATTTTTTCAAATATAAAAATGCGCGCAGTAATTAAATGTTTTAACACAACGTTATATGTTATTTTAAAGAGACATTTTTGCTCTACAAGACAGTGTTTAATATTTTTGTTGGATTTAATTTTTCTGAATTTTCAGGCAATTAAAATGGAGAGTCAAGTGGACAAAAATGAGCATTTTCGACACTTTCTTTTGATGGAGTTTAATCGCGGCTCAAATGCTTCCAAAGTGGCTCGTGAAATTTGCGCTATATACGGAGAAGAAGCTATGACCACAAGGACGGCTCAATGGTGGTTTTTGCGCTTTAAAAATGGAAATTTCGACCTCAAAAAAACGCTCTGGACGCCCGGTTGAATTTGACGAAGAGCGATTGAACCAGCTTATCCATGAAAACCCGCGACAATCGACCAGAGAATTGGCACAAGAAATGGATTCAAAAATTAAATCTAACAATACCATTAAGGTGAAGTAAAACACGTTGAGGAACTTGTTCGACGTCGATAAGTAAGATTTTTCTAAATACCTACGTTGCCGACGTTCGTTTTTATATTAACAGCTGTGTCGAATTATATTGGGTATTGTACTAAATGGCATACTCCATCTGTCGTTTTTGTACAATAATTATGAAGAAATCGAAGTAAAATTCTAGAAATCCTCTGGATTCATGGTTTCTGGGGCCCTAATTGACTGCAGAGGGACCCCCTGCGCCATCTGTGATTTCCAGGTTAACTAAATTTTTACTCCGAGACCTCATATTACCATTGTTTTAGCATAGAAGCGCATACAACACTTTTTTTGCCTTTTTCCCGTTCAAATGCGAGTTTATGGATTACCAGAGTTTTCTAATTGTCGTATAATTGTCCTGACCCTTTCGTTTCTCATATCAAAACCTTCGATAATTGTATATTGATCAAAATATGAGAGCTCGACTCCATTTTGGTTCTGGTCCGGGCTGAGTTAACAAATTTAAAAAAAAAACAAATTTTGAATGTGTCAGGACAATTCTTAGATGATCAGGAGTGACGTGTCAAAGTTTCGGACAGTTTGGTCTAATACCCTTAAAAAAAAGTGTTGTATTCGAATCGACTGATTTGAAGGGGGTTTCACTTCACCTTAATGCCAGTCCACTTTCAAAGTTTCGGACAGTTTGGTCTAATACCCTTAAAAAAAAGTGTTGTATTCGAATCGACTGATTTGAAGGGGGTTTCACTTCACCTTAAAACACTGTCATGTAGAGCAAAAATGTCTCTTTAAAATAACATATAACATTGTGTTAAAACATTTCATTTCTGCGCGCATTTTTATATTTGAAAAAATGCGCAATGACTTATGCATCAACCCAATACATACAGTCATATCAGAGGTGCCATGCGACCGACAAGAGATAAATACATTATATTACATCTGGATTCACCTGAATAATCTTGTAAGCAGTTGAGGTGTCAATGTGGTATGCAAAACCACCTTTTTTTACCTTTTGGAGACCTTCTTCGATATCATATGTGGGGGTTCTTGATCTCTTCCCGTTAGGTATTATCCTTTTCTTATTGAATTCCTGAACCACGGGATCCGTTGAGGACTATCACAATAGAAAAAAGCTGAATGATCTGTCGCAGTGGTGAATGTTAACTACAAATTTAACCATGATCGTATAGGACATAAATTAGATAATAAAACTATTGTTGGATGACGCGTCTAAACTCGACTGTTAGGTCATTATTATAATATTAATACTTAGGTTAGTCTACATATCTAGAGCCTAAGCATATTCCTAAGAAACACGGTCCAAAACTAGCACCCTGCCCTCACTTATCCTTATCCTTATCCTTATCCACATTGAGTCCACGAACTGCCCCGAAACCTCCGATCAGAAAACATCCCGTGATTGCTCCAATTTACTCATGCATGTTTCTAGAAAACTGATTATTTCCTATCTAAAACCCTCGACGAATCACTGGAGTGAATTCCTTTCCGAACCTACGAGTCAACCAAGCTTTTAGATTTCTCACACGTACGTGTTTTTGCTTTAACAAAAGGACTAGATGTTTGGAATGTGGATGTTTGGGTTGTTCGGAAAGTAATTTCGTTGTTTCCCAATAGAGGACTTAATTTTTTTTTTTCACGGCCAACTTCACACTTAAGCCGCATAATCGTTATATATTTTGACAGCTGATCTAGCAAGGCTTGCTTGTGAAAAAGTTTAATTGATTCTACGCAGTAGTTTTTGGGTGGTACCCTTTCAAATATGGAAAGTGAAAAGCGGCATTTTCGGCATATTTTACTTTTTTACTATCGACAAGGTAAAAATGCTGTTCAAGCAAGAAAAAAAATTATCCGACGTGTATGGAGAAGATGTATTGACAGAACGCCAGGGTCAAAACTGGTTTGCAAAATTTCGATCCTGCAATTTTGATATCGAAGATGCACCACGTTCTGGAAGGCCACTTAAAGCTGATGAAAACATAATAAAGGCATTAATTGATGCAAACCGGCGAATAACACCTCGTGAAATCGCTGAGATATTAAATTTATCGAATTCGACCGTTTATGATCATTTGAAACGCCTAGGTTTAATCTCAAAGCTCGACATATGGATTCCTCTGTTCTTGCGGAAAGAAATTTGTCATCGCATTGACGTCTGTGATTTGCTTCTCAAACGTCAAGAAAATGATCCATTTTTGAAGCGCATCATCCCTGGGGACGAGAAATGGGTTGTCTACGACAATGTTACACGCAAGAGATCATGGAGTAAAAAAGATGAACTGGCTCAAAGAACTTCGAAAGCCGAAGTTCATCAAAAAAAGGTGATGGTATCTGTTTGGTGGGATTTCAAAGGAATCGTCTTTTTTTTTGAGATTCTACCGAACAACACAACGATCAATTCTGAAGTGTACTGTCACCAGCTGGACAAATTGAATGATTCACTTAAACAGAAGAGACCAGCATCGATCAATAGAAAAGTGTAGGGTTTCACCAAGATAATGCGAGACCTCATACAAGTTTTTTAACTCGCCAAAAGCTTCTAAAGCTTGGATGGGATATACTGCCACCCCCACCATATTCTCCAGATCTGGCACCTTCTGATTATTACTTGTTCCGGTCTCTACAAAATTTTTTAGACGGTAAAACCTTTACGTCAAATGAGGAGGTCAAAAATCACCTGGATCAGTTTTTTGACAGCAAAAACCAAACATTTTATGAGCGTGGAATCATGCTACTGCCAGAAAGATGGCAAAAGGTATTGGATCGGAATGAACAATATATAATTCAATAAAATATTTATTCGCTATAAAAAAATCGTCTTTCATTTTCACAAAAAGAAACGAAATTACTTTCCGAACAACCCAATACCTCCTAAGGTCCTTATCGGATTCAAAGTTGTAAAGTTGTTGAAAATAAAATCAATTTTATCGCTTCAACACCGGAATCCAACACTACTTACATGCAGGAAATCGAAGGTATAGCTTATATCTTCAATTCCAATTTCCATGTCGCTGTCTAAAAGATCCTTTAATGTTTTAATATACCGCGGAGGTTCTGCGAGCAATGACCCAACAATACTCGCTGAATAAAATTGGTAAAGCATTAGAGAGAAAAAAATGCAGGCTAAAAAGACAATCCGCCCAGAATAAGTTCGAGGTTCTTTATGTGAGCCTATAAACATAAAAATAATATAAGCTATTGCAAATCTTTAATTATATTTTATTTATTAGATTTGGAATTAATATGAAGATATTATTATCGATTTCTTTCTATTACTTAGTTAATAAAAGAATATTATATACAACTTTTCTGTTGTAATTATGTTTTAACTCATTTAAGATTTTTTCTTTCCCCATCGCACTTACCCTGTTGGCAAATCATAGCGATTGTCATTAGACCCGATCCCATTACTGGATCATTGTCTAGATCATTAAGAGGGTCCGACGTTCCGAACCAAATCTTGCATAAAATTGTCACTGACATTGCAAACCAACAAATGATTCCAAGTGCAACTGTGGTCCACCATACTTCTGGTGTGAACGGTTTGATAAATTTGTTTCCCAAGTTGCTCTTTTTTGGATGTCGAAAGAGGAAGCATATCCTAGAAGGTAAGGCTAATTGTAAGTGTATATTTAAATACGTTCTCTATTTAGATTCATTAAGGTGAAGTGAAACCCCCTTCAAATCAGTCGATTCGAATACAACACTTTTTTTCAAGGGTATTAAACCAAACTGTCCGAAACTTTAACACATCCCTCCTGATCATCTAAGAATTGTCCTGACACATTCAAAATTTGGATTTTTTGAAAAAATTTGTTAACTTAGCCCAGACCAGAACCAAAATGGCGTCGAGCTCTCATATTTCGATTAATATACAATTATCGAAGGTTTTGATATGAGAAACGAAAGGGTCAGGACAATTTTACGACAATTTAGAACACTGTGGTAATTGATAAACTCGTATTTAAACGGGATAAAGGCAAGAAAAGTGTTTTATACACTTCGATGCTAAAACGATGGTAATACGAGATCTCGGAGCGAAAATTTAGTTAACTTGGAAAAACACAGATGGCTCAGGGGGTCCCTCTGCAGTCAATTAGGGCCCCAGAAACCATGAACCCAAAGGATTTCCGGAGTTTTACTTCGATTTCTTCATAATTATTGTACAAAAACGACAGGTGGAGTATGCCATTTAATACAATACCCAATATAATTCGACACAGCCATTAATATAAAAACGAATATCGGCAACGTAGGTATTCGGAAAAATCTTCTTTATCGACGTTGATCAAGTCCCTAGATGATTTCACTTCACCTTAACGAGCATAGAATCAGTTGCAATGCATTTGCAAGTTAGACGGAAAACAATTACTTGGCAACCCAAATTTTTACTGTTAGGTCGACGTAATGAATCCTTTCTGGTTTCATTTGGGCTGGCGTGATGCCTGCATCCGAGATTCCATCTATAAAATGTCGCATCATACCGTCAAACGACCCATTTATCAAATATCCCCAGGATTTCGTGGGGAGGATGTTCATTCTGCCAAAAAGAGTCAATCAAGATCAAGAATAATGATACATCTATTTTAATTATCTAGTGCAATTTTAACCCTTTGCACTCGAGGCCTTTTTCGCCCTGACGAACCAACAATTTGAGACGATTTCTCGCATACTTGGGGAATTTCATCCATCTAACTTAAAATGAGTAACTAACATAAAACGAATTAACGTATAAAACTATTATATTATAATATTTGATGTATCCTTACATGTGAAAGAAGAAAATTTGTTGAATATTAAGGACTGTATTATTACTTTGTATGCGGCATTTTCGGCATATTTTACTTTTTTACTATCGAAAAGGTAAAAATGCTGTTCAAGCACGAAAAAAATGAGCCGACGTGTATGGAGAGGATGTATTGACAGAACGCCAGGGTCAAAACTGGTTTGCAAAATTTCGATCCGGAAATTTTGATATTGAAAATGCAACACGTCCTGGTAGGCCACTTAAAGCTGATGAAAACACAATAAAGGCATTAATTGATGCAAACCGGCGAATAACAACTCGTGAAATCGCTGAGAGATTAAATTTATCGAATTCGACCGTTCATGATCATTTGAAACGCCTAGGTTTAATTTCAAAGCTCGACATATGGATCCCTCGTGTTCTTGCGGAAAGAAATTTGTCATCGCATTGACGTCTGTGATTTGCTTCTCAAACGTCAAGAAAATGATCCATTTTAGTAGAAAATTATCCGGAAAAATGAATCTTTAATTTTCAAACAGCTGCGATTCCGATAAAAAATTTCGTAGTTACTTAGTTCTAGTTCGGACCATAACTACATTCGTATAGATTAAAAAAAAAATGTTTGTTCTTCCGTTTCGGACGACAAGAATCTCATACAAATGTGTGTTGCTAGTTGAAACATGTCTTAATATTTGTCAAACACCCCGGCACTGTAGGTTTGATAGATTTAGTTTGGTAGATTTTCGCACATTTAATTCCTAAAAATTACTTAAAAAACAAGCTTCAAGACGATAATACCTCCTTAAATGACAAGAGGTATCGTTATACACTTCGTCAAATTATACAAACATATATATGTGCTCATAATTATGAAAGTGGTCTAAGTCAAAATTAAAAAAAAAATGAGTTTATCAGTTATTTCACGCCATATTATTTCAAACAAAATTAATTCAATGTAATTTCGAAACAAAAAATATATGACTTAGACCACTTTCATAATTATGGGCACATATCCATTGTTGCCGATCGGGTTTCTGCGTCAAACCAAATCCTGACCGAGACTCACCTCGACTTGCTACATCGGACCAAATGGTGACTAACAATAAGCGTCATCTCTCGAGTGCAAAGGGTTAAGGTGATATGAATGGCGCTAAGAAATTTAAAATTCCGAAATTTAAAAAGAAAAAAAAAGGGTATAGATAAATAAGAATTCATCTATACTCTTTTTGGTGGTAACGTCATTTTGAATACACAAGTGGGAACATAAGCTGGCGCGTCCCGTTACCGACATTTATATTTATGTTGAAGTCTTTTACTGTCTACATTGATAATTATACGAACTGCAGCGTTCCATTTGTCATTTCAGTAAAATAATAATAAAAAGATTGATGCAAAACTGTCGAAATCCGGAGAATTCATGACTGTTTTTTATTGACGGACCAACGTCGCCATCTGTGGCATTTAGCTGCAACTAAATTTTTGCTCTAAAAACACGTATTTGCCACGGGACAAGCCAGCATTCTTTTGCAATCGTTGGGGAAAGTATTTTCATATTTTCCTATCTAACTGTATAATATTCCATTTTTACGGTATTCTAAATTGTACGAGCTAGGTCCTGATACTCTTCATTTTCAATTCTAAGCCTCCAAGAAGGGTAAAACATCGAAAACGAACCTGGACCCCGCCATATTGGTTCTAGTCCACGATAAATTAATTAATTTTTTATGAAAAATAAAACTTTGTCAGTTTTAGGATCTATTACAGAGCCTCCATATTCGCGTGGTAAAATTTAAAAGGAATCGGTACACCCAATTCGGAGAATACTTTCACTAACAATTTATATATATGTAGGCTGACTCTTTCATATCACCTTAATATATTGTAATTATAGATACAGCATATTATTTACGAGAAATTATGACGATTCTGCAGATGCTTCATTAGTAAGTAACCAAAGCGACTCATCGAATCTAAATTCGGATCAGATGTTGAACTGATATAAGTCATCAAATCCATATGCGGTGGTCGATGTGTAATCTGTTGAACAATATAAAAAGGATGAAGATCGTTATTTATACTCGATTTACCTACCACAATGGAAAAGTTTAACAGCAGTCCATGTAGATCCGCCCTTCTGTGGTACTTCTGCTGTGTCAGCGTAATGGTCAAGCCATTTTTAGAAGTCCAATTGCCCATATACGTCATGTTCAGATGGCCGCCATGTCTCCAACTAGGATTATAGGCGTCGTACAGGACATATGAGTCCGACTGTCGAAGTGCTATTGTCAGTTCTGAAGCAAGTGACAGTGGTAATTCGGCCAAAAGTGAACTCGGCAGCTCCGTGCCGTCTTTCAGCAGGAGCCAGTTATAGGATTCGTTGAATGCCAGAGGTACTTTTGAAAACTGCCAAACATAAAGGGAATGATGTTCCATCATGCTATAGTCAAAATACTAATTTTGAAATGTTTAAGGTGAAGTGAAACATCCTTCAAATCAGTCGATTCGAATAAAACACTTTTTTTTCAAGGGTATTAGATCAAACTGTCCGAAACTTTGACACAAAACTCGTGATCATCTAAGAATTGTCCCGACACATTCAAAATTTGGATTTTTTGAAAAAATTTGTTAACAGCCCAGACCAGAACCAAAATGGCGTCGAGCTCTCATATTTGAATCAATATACAATTATCGAAGGCTCTGATATGAGAATCGAAAGAGTCAGAACAATTTTACGACAATTTAGAACACTCTGGTAATCGATAAACTCGCATTTAAACGGGATAAAGGCAAAAAAAGTGTTGTATGCGCTTCTTTGCTAAAACGATGGTAATACGACGTCTCGGACACAAAAATTTAATTCACCTGGAAATCACAGATGGCGTAGGGGGTCCCTCCGCAGTCCATTAGGGCCCCAGAAAGCACGAATCCAGAGGATTTTGTGGAGTTTTACTTCGATTTCTTTATAATTATTGTACGAAAACGACAGGTGGAGTATCCCATTTGGTACAATACCCAATATAATTCGGTACAGCTCTCAATATAGAAACGAACGTCGGCAACGTAGGCATTTAGAAAAATTTTCTTTATCGACGTCGATCAAGTTCCTCGACGTGTTTCACTTCACCTTAAGATAATATGAAAGGCGCTAAGAAATTTAATCGACGTCGATAAAGTAAAATTCATCTATACTCATTTTGGTGGTAATGCCGTTTTGATTACGCAAGTGGTAACATAAGCTGGCGCGTCCCGTTACCAACATTTATATTTATGTTGAGGTCTTTTACTGTCTACGTTGAGAAATATACGAACTGAAGCGTTCCATATGCCATTTCGGTAACGTAATGATGAAGAGATAGATGTAAAACTATTGAAATCCCTTGAATTCATTATTCTAACGACTGTTTAGAACCAACGTCGCCATCTGTGACGTTTAGGTACAGCTAAATTTTTCCTCTAAAAACATGTCTTTATTACGAGACAAGTCAGCATTCTCCTGCAATTGTTGGTGAAAGTACTTTTTGTAAGTACTATTTGTCCTATATTTTCTATATATTTAACGAATATCGTACATTTTGTAAATATTTAGCAGACATTTGAAATATTCGCGAAAC